AAATGGCCGTATAGGTTTGGAAAGTTACAAATATCCCAATGCCAGAGTCCTGGGCACATCTCCCTGCCCTGCTTCCCTCCCCAGCCTTTCCTCAGGCACCTCAAGTCTGTGCCTCTCCCTGCATCTCAGTCTTGGGTGAGTGCTTGCAATTGAAAAGTCCTGTGTTCTTGGTTTAGCAAATAAAAGTAAAGACAAAACAAAAGCAAACAACCACAAAACTGCAGTCCCCCCCCCCCCCCCCCCCCTCCCACACACACACAGTGCAGCTCAGTCCTCCTTTTGGAGCATAGCCTTTCATGGCTATGGTCTTAGGTCTAGATTTCACAAACAGCCTTGTGGCTTTTACTTTTCACAAAGACTGTCTCCAAGGGATGCAGCCTTGGCGCAATGCTGCTTCCTCCTCACCCTCTCGGCTAGGTCTCTGGTGTCCCTCTCCAGCCTAGATCCCAGTTCCTACCGTTCTCCAGGTGTCCTCTGCCCTTCCTTATTGTAAATTGTCTCCTCAGCTGTGTCTGATTTGTTATTCTGGGTAGATGTTTTCCGATTTAGTTGCTTGTCCAGTCTAGCCCTGGGACAAGGTGCAAGACACGTCTGTCTATTTGTCCACCATTTTCTTCTCTCTAGAATTTTCTTTTTTATTTGATTTTCACAGATTTACTCTGCTGTGCCCAGTTTTATATTATAGTGTATTGTGCTTGAAATTTTTAGGAATTAAAAATATATTTTAGGCTTGCCCTGGAGGGTGTGGCTCAGTTAGTTGGAGTATTGTCCTGTACACTGAAAGGTGGTGGGTTCAATTCCTGTGTAGGGCACATACCCAAGTTGCAGGTTTGATCCCTGGTCAGGGAGTATATGGGAGGCAACCGATTGATGTTTTTCTCTCACACATCGATGTTTCTCTCTTTCTTTCTAAAAACCATTGGAAGACATCCATTATAGGTGAATTCTGGACATTATGTTTGAAAAATTTTAGAAGCTCTAAATCAGTGGTTATCAACCTTCTGGCCCTTTAAATACAGTTCCTCATGTTGTGACCCAACCATAAAATTATTTTCGTTGCTACTTCACAACTGTAATGTTGCTACTGTTATGAATCGTAATATAAATATCTGATATGCAGGATGGTCTTAGGCGACCCCTGTGAAAGGGTCGTTCGACCGCCAAAGGGGTTGCGACCCAGAGGTTGAGAACCGCTGCTCTAAATGATGCTGTTTCTGAATAATTTGTTACCTTTAGAGATTATTTAATTTACTTCTGGCAGACCTATAGAGTATGGGCTGATCACCTCTATCTATTCCAGAACAACCTGTTTGCTGTTTGTTTGTAATCCTGAGTATAGCCCTTCTGGGGGAAATCTTGGCTGATTATCAAGACTCTTCCTCTGTAGGGACATTTGAACTCCAATTTCTATTTCTGCAGCACTTTGAGACTGCCAGAATCAATACTTAGATTCTTAGCCTTTTAGAAGTTATTTTGTGCTTACTTTCTTGACCATGGTAGATATTCAGCTTGAGTCAGTAAATGCCTTGGAGAAAATTCTATGTAGAATATTGGCTTAAATCAACATGTTGCTTTCAATCTAGGACCTTGGCTCTCTAGTTTTTGCTGCTTTGGTTGTTCATTAGTATCATCAGACAGTTTTTATTTTCATTAACATTTTTAGTTGTTTTCAGTGGGTTAGTCATAATACCAGCTTCTCCATTATAGCCAGAAATAGAAATCTCTTTTCCCATCTTTTGTTATAGTATTTCTATATTTTAGGGCAAATAACATGTAAATTATGTTTCATAACTCTAATTCTCACATTAACAACACAGCATGTTAATATTAGTAATAGAGTTCAAAGATTCAATGCTCATACCAATCCTTATAACTTAATTTTCTTTTTCTTTCTTTCCACATCTCTCTTGCTCTTCTTTAGTTTATTCCTTATTGCATTCCTCAAGAAAGACTTATAGGTCCTAGTGAAATGTACATATAACTTTACTTTATTCAAATACACATCCTCACACACTTCAGAATAACAATACCAATATAGTTATCAACAGTATGTTTAAAAAAAAACAACAGTATGTTTACTGAAATTTTTAAATATTTTTATTGTGTTTTTTACATTAACATAATACTATTTTACTTGTTGAAGTTCTTATTCTTGGTTGTTTATTTTTCCATATGGATTTTTCAATCAACATGTTTAATTCTAGGGAAAATAAATCCATTTGTATTTTTTATTTGGATTGCATTATTTTTGTTCTGCCTCTCTTTTATATATGCATATGCATCTGTTGGAATTTACAGCAAGATGGCATTTCTGAGGGGCATTAAAGAAGCTAATCATTAGACTGACATATTATTCTAATAAAAGACTCATATTCTAATTCTAGAGGAAAATAAATGATACTTTTCTTCTTCTTGAGTAGACTTTTCCACTGAGATACAGAATCCTAGAGTATTGATTTAATAAACCAGCTTATTATGGCCACCCTCATGCATTTGGGATTTCTCAGAGAGGAACCACTTAATGTTTCCTATGAAAGTTGCTTAACCCAAAGCAGGGACAGCACTTCCTGGAGGGAGTTTGGGGAGGTGCCCCAAAATGCTGCAGCATAGGTGGAGTTATATCTTAATCTCTTTGGTTGTCCTGCTGAGATGTCCTCCAGACCTTCTGTAGTATGGAGGCAACTGGTGTTACCCTAATAAATAGGGATTTGGCAGTCATGAAAGCTGACCTAGATTTAGGGGTATCAGCTACTAAAACTTATCAATGGTAGCTGTATATATTTGTGACTGGAAAACCCCAAAGAAAAATATCTCCATAAACTTTTAAAACACATACTTAAAAAGCCAACTATTCAAATGTACTTATAATATGGTGTTTAACCCTGCCAGTGTTGCTCAGTGGTTAAGCATCAACCTATGAACCAGGAGGTCACGGTTCAATTCCCAGTAGGGGCACATGCCCAGGTTGCAGGCTTGATCCATAACAGGGGGCATGCAGAAGGCAGCCCTCACCACCCCATTGTGTGTGTCCACGGGATACAAGTTCATTGATTGATCTCTTCCCACCCACCCTCCCCTGCCTTCCCTCTGAGCTTCCAACAGTCTGTTGTTCATGCTTCTATGTCTCTGGGTCTATTTTTTAAAATATATTTTTATTGATTCCAGAGAGGAAGAGAGAAGGAGAGAGAGATAGAAACATCAATGATGAGAGAGAATCATTGATCAGCTGCTTCCTGCATGCTCCACACTGGGGATTGAGCACACACCCAGGCATGTTGCCTTGATCGGAATCAAACCCGGGTCCCTGTAGGCCAACGCTCTATCCATTGAGCCAAATCAGATAGGGCTGGGTCTATTTTTGTTCATCAATTTATTTGGTTAGTTAGATTCCACATATAAGTTAGATCATGTGATACTTATCTTTCTCTGACTGACTTATTTCACTTAGCATAATATTCTCCAAGTCCATCCATGCTGTTGCAAATGGTTCTTTCTTTTTTATTGCTGCATAGTATTCCATTGTGTAAATGTACCACCGTTTTTTTATCCACTCATCTGCTGATGGGCACTTGGGCAGTTTCCAGATCTTAGCTATTGTAAATTGTGCTGCTATGAGCACAGGGGTGCATATATTCTTTCTGACTGGTGTTTCAAGTTTCTTAAGATATATTACTAGAAGTGGGGCTTTCAGGTGTCAAGAGATTTTTTTGGTTAACATTCAATGCAAAAGTAGTAGATGGTTGAATTTTAAGGGATTCCCCATATGTATACTATCATTTTATCTGAAGTAATAAGTAAACTATTATCTTTAAAGTGCCTGAATCAGAAAATAAATAAATAAATAAATAAATGAATAAATAAATAATCCCTGTATAGTTTTAACAAATCAGGTGATTCTTATCCACACTTAAACCAGGTCTTCGCTGATTTAACTTCTTTCTCCAATCATTAGGTTCACTTCCTTTCCTGGACTTCCCTTATTCTTTTTTCTTTGCCCCCTTTTTAATGTTTGAGAATACAGTCTGTTTCATAATATAATTAATACTCCATAATACAAAATAGCTTAATAGTGCTATGAAATAGGGAATGATATCAATATAGTGTTGAAGTTAGTTGGTTTACAGGCAATATTCTTAGTTGAATGGAGCCAGAATATTAGTATATTTATAACATTCAGAAGGAAAGGCAAAAAACTTCATTTTGATGTGTTGTTATGAGCCCTTCCACCCCTATATTAAGAAAATTAATAATAAATGCTTACATTCAGGGCTCCCTCCTCAGAGACATATACAATCAACTTGCATAGCTTCTAGCTAGACACCTTGCACTTCACCTGATTCCCACCTTAATGTTAGCCTCACTGGCCTGGGGCTTCATTTCATGTGCAACATTTCAGCACCTGAAATCCAGCATTTCCGCTTTATTTTTATGCATTTTAAATTTTTTTATTGATTTCAGAGGGGAAGGGAGAGGGAGATAGAAACATCAATGGTGAGAGAGAATCATTAATCAGCTGCTTCCTGCACGCCCCCTACTGGGGATTGAGCCCACAACCCAGGCATGTACCCTGACTGGGAATCGAACTATGACCTCCTGGTTCATAGGTCAATGCTCAACCACTGAGCCATGCCAGTGGAGCAATTTTTATGCATTTTAATACCCACGAAATGGCCTTCAGCCATACTGAGTTGCTTTTTGGGACCTTGAGGTCCCTATTATATTACTAGTAGTTAGTGCTCTGCTAATACAGTTGCATAGACTTGAGTGTTCTTCTCCAGCCCTACTTTCTTCATAAACCCTAGCTTTGGTGTGTAATTTTGCAGGAGTTAGTTTTTTTAGGTACATGTGTAATATTGTAGCACAAATGCCTATGTTCTAGAGATGTCTAATTCATTCACTTGTAATATGCATTATTTTAGGTCCCCTTTATTTCTCTGTAAAAGTTTTCTTCCTGCTGGAACAGAAAAACAGCATGTGTTTGCTTTCTTCTTTTCTTTCAGATTTGGACTCCAGATACAGGACTAATACTTTATCTTCAGAAAAGGATATTTGTGAAATATATTCATTCCAATTGGAAGTAATGGAAAAAATTAAAAGCTATTGCCTTCAGGACTCCATTTTTAGAAATGATTGGGAATGCAAAAGTAAGATTGAGGGGCAAATGGAACCACAAGAAGGATGTTTGGGGCAAGTGGAAATTACTTCTGAAAAAATGACCACATACAAAAAGCATAATTTTCTCGCTGAATATCAGAGAATTCATAATAGGGAAAAGTTATATGAATGTAAGGAATGTAGGAAGACCTTTATTCGTCGCTCAACACTTAGTCAACACCTGAGAATTCATACTGGTGAGAAACCTTATAAATGTAAGGAATGTGGGCAGGCTTTTAGACAACGTGCACACCTTATTCGACATCACAAACTTCATACTGGTGAGAAACCCTATCAATGTAAGGAATGTGGGAAGGCCTTTACAGTGCTCCAAGAACTTACTCAACATCAGAGACTCCATACTGGTGAAAAGCCCTATGAATGTAAAGAATGTGGAAAGGCCTTTAGAGTACATCAGCAACTTGCTCGACATCAGAGAATTCACACTGGTGAGAAACCCTATGAATGTAAGGCGTGTGGGAAGACCTTTAGGCAGTGTACACACCTTACTCGACATCAGAGACTTCATATTGCTGAGAAGCTCTATGAATGTAAGCAATGTGGGAAAGCCTTCGTGTGTAGTCCAGACCTTCGAGTACATCAGAAAATTCATTTTGGTGAGAAGCCCTATGAATGTAAGGAATGTGGAAAGACTTTTAGAATATGCCAACAACTTACTGTCCATCAGAGTATTCATACTGGTGAGAAACCCTATGAATGTAAGGAATGTGGGAAGACTTTTAGATTAAGACAACAACTTGTTCGCCACCAGAGAATTCATACTCATGAGAAGCCCTATGAATGTATGGAATGTTGGAAGACCTTTAGTAGTTACTCACAACTTATTTCACACCAGAGCATTCATATTGGTGAGAGACCTTATGAATGTGAAGGATGTGGGAAGGCCTTTAGACTGCTTTCTCAACTTACTCAACATCAGAGTATTCATACTGGTGAGAAACCCTATGAATGTAAGGAATGTAGAAAACCCTTTAGACTGCTCTCACAACTTACTCAACATCAGAGTATTCATACTGGTGAGAAACCTTATGAATGTAAGGAGTGTGGTAAGGCTTTTAGACTTTATTCATTTCTTACTCAACATCAGAGAATTCATACAGGTGAGAAACCCTACAAATGTAAGGAATGTAAGAAGGCCTTTAGACAGCATTCACACCTTACTCAACATCAGAAAATTCATAATGAAATTTAGTACAAGAAAGCCTTGATGTGTACATTATGTTACAGAATATCACAAAATTCATTTTGAGAATTGTTTTCATGCTCACATCAAAGCATAAGAAATTTTATATGACAGGAAAAATTTTGCTTTAAAAGCCTTCCTTCATCATTCAAACATTGCCTCTGGCAAATGTATGTCAGAGAATAATACAATTAATATAAGAAAAGCTTTAGCTTTCTTTATCATTGTCTCCATTTCACCACTTTATTACCACTTTGTTACTGGGCAAGGTACTTAAACTTCTGTGACTCATCTTGTTCACGTGTAAAATGGTGATAATATGTATATTATTTATTGCTGTATAATAAATTACCACAACTTAATAGCTTAAAATAATACATATATATTATTTCACAATTTCTATGGATTGGGAGTCTGGGTGTAACTTAGTTGGGTCTTCTGCTTCAGAATTTCTCATGAGGCTAAAATCAAGATTTTAGCTAAGGCTGGGTCTGATCTGAAGGCTCAACTGGGAAAGGGATCCACTTCCAACCTCATATGGTTGTTGGCTGAATTTATTTTCTTGAGGGCTACTGCACTGAGGTCCTAAGTTTCTGACTGTTGGCAAAAGGCTGACCCCAGTGCCTTGCCACATAGACCTCTTCAACATGGCTGCTTCATCAACAAATAGTCTGCTAGAATCATAAAATTTATAATCTTGTGTAGTCTAATCACTGAAGGAATATTTCATCACTTTATGTCTTCTACTGGCTAGAAGCAAATTTCTAGGTTACCTGCACTCAAGGGAAGAGGATTCCATAAGAGTGTGAAGACCAGGAGGTAGGGACCACTGGGACCAGTTTAGAGTCAGCCTGTGTACACTGTAATAGAATTGTAAGGATTAAGTAGTTAATACTTGGAAAAATAGCAGCCACATAGCATGTTTTCTGTACATATTATCTGTAATTGTTATCATTAGTATTAGTGAATTCATATGAAAGGAATTTCCTATAGAAGTAAAAAATTGAGAAATGCTTCCTATTACTGTCCAGCACTTATTTAATTTATTCTGGATAAAACCTAGGATGTTATATTGAATGTGAAAAGTTCATCATTTAAGCTGCATCGGAAATTTCATGCTGAAAAGAAAACCCTAAGATTTTCATGAATATGACGTTGTTAAGAGTACAACTATTGCCCTGACTGGTTTGGCTCAGTGGATTGAGCGTCGGCCTGTGGACCGAAGGGTCCCAGGTTCGATTCCAGTCAAGGGCATGTACCTTGGTTGTGGGCACATCTCCAGTAGGGGGCATGCAGAAGGAAGCTGATTGATGTTTCTCTCTCATCGATGTTTCTGACTCTCTATCCCTCTCCCTTCCTCTCTGTAAAACATCAATAAAATATCTTTTAAAAAAAGAGTACAACTATTGAAGAATCAAAGAGAAACATGAAATTATTTCCTCATAATAAATTTCTGAAAGTAAAGATTTATTATCTCTATTGTCTAAGCACCATTCAAAATTAATTAGAAACTATCAAAAAGATGTCAAAAAGGAAATAAATCATTTGTAAATTTAATATTGTATGTGCATATTCATGCATGTGTGTTTGTGTGCATAAAACACTTGTATAAAAGAAAACATTTTTTTTACAGTGAATATAACTTTTGGTGCTCAAATTGTCCCATCTTCAACCAGTGGGAGTTGGGTCTTTTGAAATGACCCCCCTAGTAGTTAGTTTACTTGGTTATGGCTATACAATTCGTCAGCTATGGGTGGTGCCTAGGCACTGACTCATCCTAAAAATTGGCAAGGGTTAAATAATTTATTTTGTTTTTCCCTTTTGAACGAAGTTTCACAGCCATCAAAAACTCAAATTGATTTTTAAATCTAGTAAATACAGAGAGATTCATAAGATTAGAAAAATCACCACTCTCTAGTTTCCTAATGGAATAATGGATCCAGAAGATAATTGGTAAATATTACAACTATTAAGTGAAAGATTTTATAAGTGAGAATGCTAGAATGGATTTGTCAAGCTGACCACCTTGAATCTGTTCATCAATTTTAGCCTCTATAAAAGTGGGACTATCAGACTATTCACCTCCTGAAAGAATGCAATAGGAAGTATGCACCACTACTTATAAAACCTTATTTCCAACATCATGAACTGAAGGAATTAAACCTTTAAGTCAAATTATTTTAAACCAAGAATTTGTGGAATAGATGAATAAAATAAATGGCAACACAACCAAGCAGCCAAACAGATTCAGAATGTGTAAAATTCTACAAACAACCTGCTTTCTTCAACTAATGAGTGGCATGAAAAAGAAAGGAAGGGCAACTGTTAGATTAAAAGACACAAGAGACATATCAACTAAATTTAGTGTATGGGCATTACTTGGACCTACTTTGAACAAAATGTAAAAAGATTTTGGAGACTGGGGAAAATGTGGACATGCGCCAAGTTAATTAGATGATATTTAGAAATAATTTTGTTAAGGATGATCATGTCAATGTGGTTATTAAGAAATGTGAGTGCTCCTGTGTGTAGAGATACATGTTTATGAAATTACTAGAGGCCCGGTGCATAAAAATTCATGCACACGGGGGGATCCCTCAGCCCAGCCTGCACCCTCTCACAGTCTGGGACCCTTGGGGGATGCCCACCTGCTGGCTTAGGCCTGCTCCCCAAGAACGGATGATCTAAAAGAAATAATCATAACCTTGGGTAAGGATTTTTTAAAAAGGTAATGTTTGCATGAAAATTCACTGCTGGCGGGGCTGAGGGGACTGGGGGACTCCGGCAGCAGGTGTGCGGAGTGGCCAGACCCACCTGGGAGTGGGCCCGGCCACACTGTGCGCCTGATGGTCCCCCCTGCTACCCCCCCGCCACTCCCTTGCTACCCCCCCCCCACAGGGTTGAGGGGACTGGGCACCACCATATTGTGGCTGTGGGTGCTGCCATCTTTGTGAGGGCATCATGGTCAATTAGCATATTACCTCTTTATTATATAGAATAAGATATCCAGATTTACATTAAAATACTCCAACAATAGAAAAAGAATGAAAGAGAACTGGAAAGTAGGTTGACAAAATGTCGATAATTAAGTGGAGTGGTTTGTATATGGGGGTTCATAATAATATTTCTACTGTTTGTTTTTAAAGGTTTTAATAAAAATATTTGATATCAAAACAAATTATAGACTACTTAGAAATTATTGTTAATGAGATTCCTGTATATGTAAACTTGTCAGATATCACAAAAGTTCTATTCAGGAAGAAATGAATATCCTTTAATAAGTTAAGGAAACTGGACACAGTCTTGATCTTTTTCACTTATCCACAGCAGTCAAATCTGGATCTGTCACATCCATAAATGTGATTAAGGAATGAAAAAAGCATTTATGTCAAGACATCAGAAACAGAAGAAAATAAAACCAACACCAGAGAAATCAAGTACCTTTAAAAAATAGAAATTAAGAGACTAGACAATATAGTAGACTTAATTGAATGTTTTTTAAAGTTTTTTTCAATTACAGTTGACATTCAATATTATATTAGTTTCAGGTGTACAGCATAGTGGTTAGACATTTATATAACTTAAGAAGTGATCCCTCAATAAGGCTTAGTTCCCACCTGACATCACACATAATTATTACAATATTAGAAGCCCGGTGCACGAAATTCATGCACTGGAGGAGGATTGTCCCTCAGCCCGGCCTGCACCCTCTCTAATCTGGGACCCCTCGGGGGACATCCCTCTCACAATCCGGGACTGCTGGCTCCTAACCACTCGCCTGCCTGCCTGCCTGATTGCCCCTAACCACGTCTGCCTGCCAGCCTGATGACCCCCTAACAGCTCCCCTGCTAGCCTGATTGACACCTAAATGTTCCCCTGCTGGCCCAATCACCCCAAACTGCCCTCCCCTGCTGGCCCGATTGCCCCCAACTGCCCTCCCCTGCCGGCCATCTTGTGACAATGTGAGGGCAGGCATCGAGTGACGACATGGGGGCAGCCATCTTGTGATTTGAGGGCAGGAGGGTCAATTTGCATATAACCTCTATTATATAGGATTACTGACTATTTTCTTTTTCTTTATTTTCTTGTTTAAAGTATTACAAATACTCCTTTTTTTTCCCCATTGACCTTCCCCCGGCCTCCCTTACCCTCCAGCACATGCCCTTACCCACCCCCCCAGTGTCTTGTGTCCATTGGTTATGCT